CTTGGGCACTTAAGCCGTCTTGGTATTCCTTTACGCTTGCCTCGCGGCTACCCGCAGTCTACCATTGTGTGACCGACATAGATGGTGATCAGAAGCACTCCACTTCGTAGTGGATTACAGAGTTGTTGCGTTTTCTAAGACGGGAGAATAAGTATCTCCCCCTCTTGAAGAAGCATTTGGTGTTATTATACTGTCCTATCATCATGTCTACTATGTCCTCTATCATCATTACAGCTACGGATGCAGTTAAGTCAGCAATTAAATACAACAAGTCTATGAGTGGTATTGCTACTACTAGTAGTAGTAATAACATTAAGAGGGATAGATATGTGGATGCTAGTTGGTATTTGAATAATCCTAATAGGAATGCTGATGATGATTATAAGATGAGAAGGATTCCTGGAGCTATACGATTCGATATTGATACTATACGTGATACATCCAATGAGCATTTATCATCATTACCACATATGTTACCATCTCCATCAACTATTAATAAATGGTTACATGATAATAAGGTAAACTTAATGTATTATCATTAGTATTTTTGTTATTATTATTAGATTGATCCCAAGAAGGATAGATTAGTTGTATATACTCATCCTGGTAGTTTTGCTGGACCAAGGGTATGGTGGATCTTTACTCTTTATGGTTTAAATACCGTGTACTATTAATGAAACTTCAGCTTATTATTGTTACTACTATACTGTTCTTATAATAATAATACTTATTAGATCTCTCTCTCTCTCTCTCGCTCTCGGCCGTCTTCGGCCAGGCGACAAACCAACAGCTGAGGGCAAGTTGGGTTGTTTATAAGGTCGACGTACTCAGCACAAGGAGACCAGTACTTGGCTGAGTTTTTTTTTTTTTTTTTTTCTTTTTTTTTTATCTCGGTCTCAAAGCCTTAATCCTTCTCTCCCAGAGAACTCGGTCCTGAGCATCTCCTCGCGACAGACTCGCCACTCTCAAATCCTCTGCTATGAGATCCATCCAACCTTCCCGCTTTCTCCCGCTTATCTGAGCTCCCAAATGATATGCCGGATCCCACAACAGCAGTCTGTTCACTAGAGATGCGGGGGGTGTTCTAAGGATGTGGCCATACCAACGCAAGCGACGCATTCTAAGGACTATGTGACAATCAGGGCAACCAGACCTTCTCCAGATTTCGCGGTTTGTGGTGTGCGACGAAGGCGATATATGCAACACCCTCCGTATACACTTGTTGTAGAATGCACAGTATTTCTCCGTCTCATCTTTGCTCAGGGCAAAGCACTCGCTAGCATATAATAATATCGAGAATACCACACTTCGGAGAATAATAAACTTCTGTCTCAGGCTTACATCATGCGAGTTCCAAACTTTCTGTAGCCTTGCCATTCTTTGTCCCGCGAGTTGCATGCGCCTACGAATATGGGTTTCATTATCCCGTTTGCCATCGATTATGGCACCGAGGATGCTCAATTTATCAGTGCATTTAATCCTTGACTTTTCCGAGCTGCCTTCCTTACTCTCCAGGTTAACGCACAGTCTCTTGCACTTCTCCGGTGCTATCATGAGATTTGCAATTTTTCCATCCTCCTCGAGATACGATAGTTGACGGTCAGCTCCTTCGATTGTGGAGGCAGGTACTGTAACGTCGTCTGCAAAACTTAACTCGTTGAGACATAGTCCGAGATCCTGCTTCCTCATACTGAGTCTAGTGTATCGTCCGGGGCTGTATCTCCCTTGACTAACCGAAATCCGTATTGCGACTCCC